CTGGGAAAGTGTGGAGAGGAAGGTGTAGATTTTTGCACCACCCTGCCACAACTGGCACCATTTCCCTGCCATCCCACCCCCACCCTGTCTCCAGTAGGCTTTTCGCTCTTTTTTTAAAGTAAGTATCAGTGGAAGAGATATTGCTATAATAATATACTGGCTTTTGGGGAATCCCATAAGGTTGTCAAAGCATGAGATTGCCTGCCTCTGTGTAGTGACCCTGGACTTCCTTGGTGGTCTCCCATCCAAATACTAACCAGGGCCAATTCTGCTTAGCTTCCAAGATCTGATGAGATCAGACTAGCTTGGGCTATACAGGTCAGGACAATATGCTGACCACCAATAAATAAAAAAATAAATGCAAAGCCTCTCAGAGGCAAGGGGGAAAGAATGGCAGGCACTAGGGGAATGAATTGCTCCATGCAGAAACTCTGTTGCCACTGTGGGTGATTCTACATTGGCTTTTCCCTCTGTTGTTTTGCGGAACCCTCATTGGAACAGAAATTCCCCTCTGCATTGCATGCTGCTGTCTAGGGCTGCCAAATCAGGCCGGGGGGCGGAGAAACCCCCGCTTTGGAGGCCCGATTTCCACCGCGGCGGAATCAGGCCCAGGGGAAACCCCACCCCCGCATGCACGTCACAGGGAAGTGACATCATGACGCAGGGGATGCTGGGGGCGGGGCCACAGCCATTTGAGGGGGAAACATAGAGTTTTCCCCTCAAATGGCAGTGGCCCCATCCCCAGCGTCATGACGTCACTTCCCTGTGACGTGCATGCGCGGCGTGTGCGTGCACCCGGGGAGCCAGGCTGGAGTCCCCCGCCACAAGGGTAAGTGCCATTTGGCAACCCTACTGCTGTCACTTCCCTTGGTCATCGGGTTTTATGGTACCCTTTATACTGCATGCCGCTTTCACTTTCTTTGATCATGGGGTTTTACGATACCTTCTGCATAGATTTATGGCTGTTCAGGGGTGACTTTGCAGTCAGTACCACATTGCCCTGGCGTATTTGAATGTGGTCTTGAGCTGCACCTTTGGTAAAACAACGGAGGGAAAAGCCAATGCAGAATCGCCCTGTGAATGCATTATCAGTGGCAATGAGACCGCGATGGAGAATGGTCCCCATTTGGTAGGAGTCTTGTTACAGCAAAAATAAACAGGAGACTTGAAGCACCTTAAAAGGCTTCTGTTTTTAACCTAAAGTTCTGTCAACTAGACCTCACTATAGAGTGGTGGGCTCTAATTTACAAAAGTTTGTGCTAGAATAAAAACTTGCTAGTCTTTAAGATGCAGCAAGAGTCCTGTTTGTCTATTTTCCCTATGACCCTATGTCAGAATGAATGGAAAACATTGAGATGCCTATGAGGAAATGGCCAGAAAGTGAACTAGTTAATGGATTGGATCAGTTCGAAGAAGAAGAAGAAGAAGAGATTGGATTTATACCCCGCCCTTCACTTGGAGTCTCAGAGCGGCTTACAAACTCCTTTCCCTCCCCCCCCCCCACAACAGACACCCTGTGAGGTGGGTGGGGCTGAGAGAGCTCTGACACAAACTGCTCTTTCAGGAACAGCTGTACCAGAGCTTGTGACTGACCCAAGGTCACATCAGCAGGTGCAAGTGGAGGAGTGGGGAATCAAACCCGGTTCTCCCAGATTAGAGTCCCCACACTTAACCACTACACCAGACTGGCTCTCAAAGGTCATGTTCCACCAAGGAAACACATTTCTGCCAGCAGAATTGAACTTTCCTGCCTCCTGCTATAGCTCAGAGTCCCCCCTCCCCCCTAAAGTGCTGCTTGTAGGAGACAGGAGTTTCTCAGGACCAGCCTGGGGAGGGGGTACAGTGAAAGGCTGCAGTAAGAACAGCTGGCCAGCAAAAAATTACCAACCTTTAGAAAATGACCTTTGGCTCCAACCTAATAAACATGTATTTTCCATCTGAACATTGTTATCCATAGATTATATTAATAAGGCATCAATGAGAGCCAGCGTGGTTAAGAGCGGTGGACTCTAACCTGGAAAACTGGGTTCATTTCCCCACTCCTCCACATGAAGCCAGCCAGGTAACCTTGGGCCAGTCACAGCTCTCTCAAAGCTCTCTCAGCCCCCCTCCCAAAATGAGTCTAGCTCACCACCTACTGGTGCATAAAGAGCTAGAACTCCTAGCAGCCAGACAATCTTAGGATCTTGTGACCTTTACACACAATGCCATATGGTGGTGGTTATTATTATTATTAATCAGTTTCTTCAGTTTATTTTGATATGTTTTCTCTAGTTTCCTGTGCAATAGCTTGGCACCAAAATGGAACCCATCCAAACTTGATTTGGTAACATGTACATACACCTTTTCTTTTATGAAGGACTTTATGATGCGTTACAAAGGTCCTGCTGACCACTGGGTTGGTCTCCACAGAAATCAAAGTCAGCCCTGGAAGTGGATCAATGGCACCATTTTCAGTGAGTGGTGAGTCACGTTCCTTGTTTGTTTCAAGCAGTCCAGGCTGAGAATTAGGACAGACTATCTAGCCATGGAATAATTAATGCCACTTAGAATGTTTCTGATAATTCTGTAATTCTTAATGCTTTTCAAGTTGAACTTAAAGGAAAATAGTAAGACAGAAGAGAAAGACTGCTGTCTACTGTTAGATAAATGTGTACTGATGGCTCTTGACAGCAGTGTCAAAATAAGAACATAAGTCAGGAAATCAAACAAAGTCACATTAAGGACCATCCTAAGCAGAGTTACACCCTTCTAAGCTCATTGACTTTAATGAACTTGGAAGGGTGTAACTCTGCTTAGGATGGCACCGTTTATTATATTGTCAACTGACCTCATTCAGCTATTCAGATATCTGTAATAATATCAGAAAATCTCTTTAGTTTGAAAAAACTTCCATTATAGGCCCCGGTCACACGGAGCATTAGCCACACTACAGGGACGGAAGATAGGCGGGGTTTCCGGGCGCGATCTTACCAGCACATCTGGGAAGCGTAGTGCTCCCGTGGCTCAACCGAGGCTTCCCTCCGAAGATGCAGTTTAAAAAACTAGTACCTCGGAGGTACTAGTTTCCGGAAACGGCGGGGCAAGGGCGAGCGTCTGATTGCGTTTCTGGAGGTAGTTCCGGCGCCCACCCATGTCCCCTAGCTAAAAGGTGGGTTTTTCCTCAAGTCTCCATGGATGCGCACAAGCACACAACGGAGCATGCGCAAACGTTAGTTTAATAAAAGAAACCACACAACTTGGGTCATGCAGAGAAGAGGAGAGCAGCCAGAAGAAAGCAACAAAGAGCGCACGGCTTGAGGCGAGCAACAAATAGATAGGGGGAAAGGGGGAAAGGCAGAAGATATAGCGGCTGAGACGAAGCCCAGAAGAGGGGGGCGCGGCGGCAGAGTAGGAAGTCTACTTGGGGAAGGGGGGACACAGCTCAGGAGGACGGCACCGTGGACTCGAAGACAGGCGAGCGGAGAAGGAGGCGCGGTCAGGGTGAAGGGGGCTGAGCCATGCTGCTTTGCCCTCTTCGCGCGCCCCACCAGACGGCTCCCCGGACTGTTGCCCTTACAGAACTACTGCCCACCCCCTGCCTGCTTCACTGGAGCCGGCAGCTGGCCCCTCCTCTCCCCAGGGTCGCTTGGCCAGCTGTCTCTGGCAGCCTCCTCCTCGCCTTCCCTCGTCTCTTTGCCCCGTGGCCCCGCTTCTTTGCCGTGTGATCTGCACCTCCCCCTATCCACAGGACCTCCACGGAACCTCCACGGGACCTCCACGGGAGGTCTGATCGCGCAATCGTGCATTATTTTTCCTCGAGGCAAACAGCCACGCTTCCCCCCCGCATTTTCCTGGCCGTGTGACCGGAGCCTTAGTCTGTCAATGGGGAAAAGTGGAAGTTAAGGAACTTTCATTGTCCTCCATCATATGCTAACTTAGGGGGCCACACATTTTAAACTTTTTTAAAACTGGCCTTTCTTGGGGCTTCAGGTTTGAAATGTGTTTGTCTTTAATTTCCCTTCAGCATTCATTTTATGCTGATGATGAAGCCTACAAAAGATGATGCTCCAAAGAACTTCTTAATCATACAAGATGCTTTGGTACAGCAGACCAGCAAGGCTACTTTTCATGAATTTGTTTTATTTAATTTTTTTTAAAATGGAGAAAGATATTGGGAGGAATAGCAAAATATGCGAGTGGCATTCTGAAAGGGAAAGGCCTTCGGAGAAGGCAAACCCCCCCCCCCAACCTAGAAGAAGCCTGAAAATTAAGACAAGAAGCCTTTCGCTGCCCTTTCAGCAGCGCCAAAGAGTTTACCACTAAGTTGTAGACCCTGCTACCTTTGTGACTCTTGTTAGTCATTTGCTGGACAACTCCATTTTCTTACACTTCAGGTTTACAATTCTTGGAGGAGGAAGCTGTGCGTATATGAACCAACAAGGTATTGCCAGCTCCAGCTGCTCAAGAGAAGAACCGTGGATCTGCAGTAAACCAGTTGCGAGGTGACACAGGGCTTTCTGTGCATCGCATGACCATCTGACCCCTACAGAACACACTCATTCAGGTATTCTTAATATGCTGGTCATTTATTTGACTTCTTCTTCCCCAGGCACTGGTATACCCAAGGCAGCCTTTGCAATTTCATTCAGGGGAGAGAGGCCCCATGAACATATGGCATCTCTGTAAGAATCCATTTATAAATATTGGTTGAACAGAGGACTGGGGGCACAGAGGCAAGCACACAGGCAGTAACAAATTCATATCACATACAAAATGATGTTGTAATTTGTTAGCTGCTTTGGTGGCTCTTGTGAGAGCAGAATGATGGGATGTAAATATTGTAAAATAAATAAAAATACCAATATCCCTCAGAATCCAAAACAGACACCTTTCCATTTTCATAACGAGCAAAATATTACTAAAATACTAAACTGAGAGTATGGAAAGTACAAGATAAATGGTTAAACCATGGGTAGTTCCATTATATGAAATGGGCACCCTGGGGCATAAATATGACATATCACTTAGGAAGTCATTTGCAAATGTCAAACACCTTATATTTTGTGAAAAGTCATCATTTTTAACAGTGACATCAACTGCTAATGCAATCAGCAATGGATAACTTATTCATTAGCAGGAACTCCTTAGAAGCATACTCTAATATCTCTGTGTGTTTCCATCCATTTTAGTGCATATGTGATATGTGAAGTCCATCTATCTAGGGACAAACATACTTGATTCATGGGGAATGAGAAATGTGGAACAGATATCTGATGAATGATAGTAACATGAACACAACTCAGAAGAAACGCACTACTAAAAATGCTTCCTTGTATCTGTTGTGTTTTCATACTGTTTTTCTCTAGTTCTCATGGTAGCATATATAGTTGAACCCTCTTTCACTTTATCTTCTGAACAATCTTGTGAGGGTAGGTTAATGGGTAGTATTACCCAGTGAGATTTATAGTTGCATGAGGTTTTTAACTTGAGCTACCTCCATGCCCTAGTGCATATGTCATCAGCTTTTTTGAGCCTTCAGGCATCTTTGGATTTCTGACACAAGGTGGTGTAGCCAACCTCAAAATGTCAGGGAGTGAGCTTGTACATAAGTCTAATAGTAACACTTCAACATATCAGGCAGAAGCTCTGATTAACAGGATGCCTTTTAAAATGAACATACTTTTGAAAAATATTGTCTTGCTTACACACACCTTACCGTCAGTCATGTAGTAAAGATCCTAGTGTAGTGATGGCAGCTGCTGCTGTAGCAACTTTTAAAAAATCTACACAGCCGGTCAGAAGACCTGCTGTGTAAAAGCCCAACCCCGCTGCACCCAGTTTCTAAAACCACTTGGTAGGTGAGGAAAGTTTTTGATGGGCACCATATTGGGGACTAGGGATGGGCATGAACTTCATCATGAACTGAAATTCGTGACAAAAATCGCCCAACATGAGCCAAGGTTCATATGATCCCACCCACCATGGACCTCCCATGGACCTCTGTGTTTTTCACGGAGGTTTGTGCTGTTTGCTTCGGTGGTTCATGAGCTAGACATGTTGGTGCCTTGGAGAAGGCATTTTAAAAGACCACATTCTTTTTAAATGCTTTCTGAGTTCACTCACTGAACAACTTAGTAAAGAGGCCACAGTTTAAATTTAAATGCCTTCTGAGTTCACTTGCTCAGTTACACTGCCGCCGTCGCGTGGCTTGCACAAGTCATTTAAAGAAACTGCAGTCCCTTTAAATGCCTTTGTTCGCTCGCCGAATTGCACCCCCATGGCGGGAGTGTGCCTTGGAAAATTTCCGAATTGCACCCCCAGTCTCTTGCTGCTGCCACAGCACAACTTGGTGAGTGAAGTCACCATACTCTTCGCCTCATGAACCTCATGAAATAAACTGGTTTGGTAAATGGGAGGGTTTATGAAGGTTTGTGTTCGTGTCACCCCAAGAACCGGGACGAACCACCATTTTCCCAGTTTGTGTCCATTACTGCTGGGGACCATGTCCTAGTGTGACCCTTAACCCACAGCCTGGGCAACCATTTCTTACTGTCTTTTCCTTCTCAGGTATGATGGGACATTTGCAGAGCTTCCTTGTGGTGCAAATGCATGTGTTAAGAGATGCAAGGAAAGAGGAAGAAGATTGGGGTTCAAAGACTGAAGAGAAGCTGAACAGTAAGCGGAAACTGTGAAATTTGAGGCAGGAACGTACCTCACGATTTTTGAGTGAATGTGAAAAGCCTCATCTCTTCTTGTCCACTGTTGTTATTCTGCTGTATATACTACTCTGTATCACAACCCTGGTATTCCTTGGAGGTCTCCCATCCAAATACTAGCTGGGGCCACGCTTAGCTTCTGAGATCGGGCTAGACTGGGTCATCCAAAACCACAAATGGTCTCTCCCAAGGGTGTTACCTAAAGATGGGAGCAATGGAGCTAAAATATCACTCAATTCATAAAGTATTACAAGATAGAATTCCTTGTGTCCTGAACCAGGAAAATGCACACTTTGGCAAAGTGAGACATTTTTGTTTTCCTACAGTTTGTGTTTGGCCAGAGGCACCTTGCCTGCTCAAGGCACCTCATGCAACAAGAAGTCAGCAAAAATGCAAACCCCTCCCTCTAGAGGAAGGCTTCTGTTGTTGGTCCACCTTCTAGGGTTGTCAGGTCTCCCCTGGCCACCAGTGGGGGATGGGGGGGTATAGGTGCCAGATCCAGGTTAGAAGCGTCTGGAGATTTAAGGACCTCAATGGGGTACAATGCCATAGGTTCTGCCCTCCAAAGCATTCATTTTCTCCAGGGGAACTGATCTCTGTAGTCTGGAGATGAGCTGTAATTTTGGGGGATCCCCAAGTCCCACCTGGAGGCTAGCATCGCCACCTCCCTCCAAAGCAGCCATTTTCTCCAAGGGAACTGACCTCTATAGTCTGGAGATCAGTTGCAACTATAGGAGATCTCCAGGCCTCACCTGGAATTTGGCAACTCTAGCCTGACTGCTCATTTAGTATTCAGACAATGTTAAATTTAGCTCGTAGAGCAAGTGCTCTAGTAGAGCAAGCAAATGAAACTAGGAACCTCAAAGGTGGCCAGCGGCTTCAGGATGATCGTGGGGGTTGCTGTGCCAAAGGTGAAGAGCATCAGGCCATACTAGCCAGTGCAATCTTGATTAACTCCTCCATCCCCTCTGTTTTTGACAGTGGACTATAAAGTTCTTGTAATGTATTGAAACGTTTACATGAATCACCTCATTGAACTCCCATGTTAAGCTTAGAGCCAAGCTAGGGCTCCTCGGAACGAACTTCCTATTGGTCGCTCTGCAACAGCGACCAATCAGATCTGTACTATTCCCTGCGAGGGAAAAACTCCCATTGGTCTTTAACTCATCAATCTCATTGGTTGTTAAATGTAAATAGGCGTGGCTATATTAGCCCGGTAATGTTTAAAAGGAGCATAGCTCCCAATGTTTTCTCGTTCTGGCTTTGAATGCGTTTGAGTGTTTGTTCACTACTTCAAATAAAGCTGAATCACTGAGCTGAAATCATTCTCCGATCCTTTGTTAGCGCGATCTAACAGTTCTCTGTTTGTGCCAGGCTATCGTGCCAGTGACCTCTGGCCAAGTTACTGAAGATGCCCCTGGATCAGGCCCCACCGAGTCTCCAGAATCAGATAGCCGAAGCCTTCTTATAAGAGGAAAAGGAGACATTTTACAGAAGTTCATTCTCCCAAAACACCATCCAGCTGGATGTTTCTAATTCCCACCCCATTCCTAGATAGGAGGAGGGCACTAACCACATGGGGCCTGAAGCACAAAGCAGTATAAAAACAGCAAATGGCAAGGGAGGGGAGGAATGTTCTTCACCACCTGTCAGGATTTCCAGGTTTCAATTGTATCAGCAGCATCTAAAGCCACCCCAGCTATATACGGCAGCATGCCTGTGGGGGAAATGTGTGTGAGTGAAACACAATGAGAGAAAGCCAATACGGTGTGGTGGTTAGAGTGTTGGACTAGGACCTGGGAGACCCGGTTTGAATCCCCACTCTGCTACAGAAGCTTGCTGGGTGACTTTTGGCCAGTCATGCACTCTGAGCTTAACCTACCTCACAGGGTTGTTGTGAGAATAAAATAGAGGAGAGGAGAACAGTGGAAGCCCATTGGGGAGAAAGGTGGTGTACAAATTAAGTAAGTAAATAAATAAAATTATATGCTTTTGCATTTCCTTAGTGTGAGCTTAATAAACATGATTTCTGTATTCAAGAAATTAAAGTCTGATTTTCTCTCTGTCTCTCTTCCTCACCTATGTGGAAATTTCCTGCTGGGTCAGAGTGGATTTAGGCAGAACCCGGGCCAGGATATTCTAGTTCCCTTCATTTTAGAACAGCAACTCCCATGATCATCATGAAGCTAGTGGCCAATTTTGAGGCTCCTAGGCCCCGGTCACACGGGCCAGATAGCGCGGGGGGGGGGAGGCGTAGCTGTTCGCCCCAGAGCAAAATAAAGCGCGGTAGCCCAATCACATAGTCTCCTGAGTCTCTGTGCTTTGGCTGTTAGCTGGCTGTAAAGTACTCAGAACGAAGAGTGATTCAGCAAGAGTACTTTATTTAGTGAAGAACAAGACGAAGGAACCCGGCACGCAGGCTGGTATATATGCACAGACACCCACCACCTAAAACACACCCCTAGTGACCCTATAGGTTATTTACAGTAGCCGGGAGTCTCATAGGCTCCCGGCTGTGGACCTGGCCCTGTGATTGGTGCGGGCTAGGATCCACAGGTCTATTGTTCTTGCAGGACGAAGCTTTGGGGTTAGCTCTTTGCCGCGGGGCTCAAACGGCCGCGCACATGGTAATGGCGGCAGTACATTACACCCCTCCCCCCATAGTCCCAACTACCCACACACAAAGTCCTGGAGGTATGTTGGAGCCTTCCTGGGCCTTGTGGAGCGGCAGAGTTCCGGGGTGTTGTTCGGGGCTGTTACTTGTGGCCGTGGCGGAGAGTTTGGCTGCGG